GTGAACCCACACTGTCTTCTACTAAGTAGATTTTAAAGATCTAAGTTTTTGTTGTTTTTCTTTTCCTTTTGATTGCAATGTCCTTCTTATCGTCCTTCCTTCCCCCTTCTGTGGGCAAACGAGCACTTATTTATCTTTTAAGACCTAGCTCCCATGTAACTTCCTTTATGAAGCCCCTATTGACACACCTGCCACTAGATAAACTTTATCACTCCCTTTTTTGTGCCCCTCTGCACCCTGAAAGCTTCCACCTTAGTAACCATGACTTTATTACTCTGATATATGTATAAAGGCTAATCAGGTCAATGTACGGCGGGTGGCACAGGGAAACTATTAATAATCCCCATGTGCCTGCCACCTGTTACATGGGGATGCAAAGAAGAATAAGGTGAACCCCTTGCACTTGGGGAGCTCACTCTCTACTGGAGGAGAATGTCATAACATACATATTTAAGATACCATCTTCATTTCATGGCTCGAGATCTGTACAGGGTATTATGGAAGCACTAGGAAGAAACACTTTAACCACGGGGGCAAGGAGTTTTGCTTGGCAGAAGGCTCTCTGAAGAAGGTTTTACTTGCTATCATAGTAGACTTAGGAGTCACCAATATAATGATCTCAAACATCCCACCTTCAGCACAAGTCATTTTGGTCCTGAAGTGAGTGTAGGGCCCCAGGCATAGTGATGTGGTCTGAGAGAAGTGAATAGAACTGTGGCCTGTGTCCCCACAGAGGAGATGGGGGTTTTCCATAGAGAAGGGCTTTCTCACTGTGTCATGAAATTGTGAGGGCCCTACTTAGGGCCATGGCTTCTAAGAAATTTGCAAGCTGAAGATAAGGGCACTGTTTTAGAATGTTTAGTTTCTTTGCAGGCTGGAGAGGTACTTTTTTTACTTTGAAGAAAAAGATAAAGGCAAAAAAAGAAGAAAGAAAAGCATTTGAGCAAATAAAAATTAGCCCTGAACTCACTTTTACCTGATGGGCTACTGTATCAGTCAGCTTTGATAACTGCTAACACTTTCCTCTAGAAAGTGGCACATGCACTTCTACTCATATTTCATTGGTCAAAGCAAGTCGCATGACCAAGCAGCGAAGGGGCCGCCAACATAGGAACAATACAATAATACCATAGCTACGCCAAACTCACAGCTGACTGTTCTGAAGACAAAAGACCAACAAGAGGTCAAACAAAAGGTCCTCGAACTACAGGCATCCTCGAACTACAGCCCACGGGCCACGTGCAGGTGTTTTTGCCCGTTTGTTTTTTTACTTCAAAGTAAGATATGTGCAGTGTGCATAGGAATTTGTTCATAGTTTTTTTAAACTATAGTCTGGCCCTCCAATGGTCTGAGGGACAGCGAACTGGCCCCCTGTTTAAAAAGTTTGAGGACCCCTGGTTTATAACATTAACTTTAAGCAGGTGAAATATATGATTAATCTGTTGAAGAAAGAAATGTAACAGAATCAAACCTTCTTTTCTTAGAAACAAACCCTGAAATCTACAGAAATCAAAATATACATAATGAGGAAAATTTTGATATCCTCCTGACAAACAAAAAATCAGACCTAAGGAACTAAACAACCAAAGGAGAAGTGTCTTACTTCGGACAATAGCTTATTGAAGCACACGTTTTTATTGTATCTGGATTGGTTCTGGCAGGTCACAGAAGGTACGTAATGGAGGAACATGGATTCACAATGAGCACTGCCATCACTCAGCATCATTGTTCATACTTGGAATGCTATTCGCTCACGTGCTGCCCACCCAAATCCTACTGATTTGCTTTAGTTGCCTCAAATGCCACATTTTTGAAGAAGCCTTTCTAGATCATTCCCATCAGTATGAATCACAAGGCTTTAGATGTAGTGGTGCTTGCATTTCTATTTGACATATTTCATACTGTCTATATTATGATTAATTATTCACTCTCCCCTTCCCTCCCCACCTCAGAACTGTGAATTCCTTGAGGGCAGAATCAGTGTTTTATTCCTTCTCGGTCTCCCACAGTGCCTAGTGCAGAGTGGTGCATGTGAAGGAACCCGACAATTCATTGTTGTTGAAGTTCACGAATCTCAGTCTGTATAGAAGCCAGTTGACATGCATACCTCAGCTCTATCCTCAAGGTTACCCCAGAACATAAGGTACACACACAGAGGAGAAGGTAATGATTGTTTGTGATTACTGTAGGCCCCAAACTCACCCAGACAATAAGAAAGTCTTGGTAAGGTACGCAAACAGGAAAGGTAGGGAGGAGAGGGCAGCATGGGAAGCAATCTCTGGGAGGTACTCTCAAAAGTACCTCTGTTCCTCTGACATCTAGATTAGTTTGTCCCTTTTAGATACTTCTATTTATATTCTCTTAGTATCAAATGGTAATTAGTTATATAGGTCTTAGTTTTAATAAACTGTTCTACTGATGTGGCTTGTCCTTAGTTATGCAAACATTGAAAGCGAGTGATATAAAACTAATTTAAGGGATCAAATACGATATTAGGTTGACAGGCAATTAAAAATTATATAGAGGATACCTGGAATATTTATATTCATAATACACAGTATGAATATTTTTAGATTCTCTGATATTGGACTTAGATGTGCTCGTTCTATTTTGTAAATCAAAGAATTGGCCTATATCTTTGATCTGTGTGTTTAGGTTTTATAGTGACAGACATCTTATAATAACTAGAAATAGAAATTCCATCTTTGGTAGTAATATAGTACAGGGACCTGAGAAGAGAAGGTCTTAAGGTGCTGTTAATTAGCAGAAATCTAAAGCACACAGTCTCAAAGCAATTAAGGCTGTTAATTGAATATGTAGATGCACAGTGGAGTGGCTCATAGCTGGCCAGGGAACCCTGGGCTTGCATAAAGGAGTTATGTTACACAAATGATGCTGAACAATTGAGAAACAACAAATATGGGTCAACTTATGTTTGTCTAGTAGTCAACTGCATTTTTGAGTGGTGATACATTGTGAGCTATGTGCAAAATTGTCTATTCACTGCAAAATTCAATGTCAATAATTCAATGTTTCAGCCTATCTTTTGTAAAAATGGCACACCATTTACTCATGGAAAACTCAGGTTTTTTTGTTTTTTTTTTTGCTATGGTGATTTTGCTGTCCTTCAGTTTGGCAAACATTTCCAGGATTCATGTGATACTTTAAATGCAATTGGTGGTCACACAGTAGCTACAATGTCACATCTAGGCACATTTGGGGGCAGAGGAGAAAGGACATCATTGATAAGCTTGGAGTGGCAAAGTGATTTTACTACTGAATTCTTTCAGAGCCTTTGTACTGACTTCATTAGTTGTGTTATTTGATTAACGTGTGAAGATAGTTTTAAAAAGAAATTTAAACTAAAATTGCGAAAAAGTTTTCAAGAAATAGAATGTTCCTTTTAGAAGAACTTCAGTGGAAAGTGGTCCATTTTTTCAGCAGTGTTTGTTATTTTTAATAGCCATGGCTTTAGGGTAGGCTTCTGTTTCTGCCAATCCCAGGCTTGCAAAGGTGCAGTGGAAAGAGTGTGCGCTAAAGAACGCGCAGAAGGCAGTGAGTGAAGAAATGAATTTGCTTTTTCATGCCGCTTCAGTTCTCTGGACAGTGTGGCCAGCTTTCTGATCCCAGCGTTAAGGGGAAAGGGAAATTACACAACTGCTTGAAATCCACAGGTTATCATCAAAATTAACGTTCACCGGTGGTTTTCACCCGTTTTGCTAAATCCAGAAAGTGGTAGAATTGACTGATATGAGTGCCCCCTCCCGCTCCCCTTTCAGTCCCACTCCACTTTCTGGAGAAGTTTGTAACAGCCAGTGAAGTGGCTTTTTTTAAAGAAAGTGGAGGTGCTGAGGAGGCAGTGAAAAATAGGAGCATAGAATCTAAAACTTCCCGAACTGATCATTTCATCCGTATTTGAAGAATTGAGCATTCATAAGGACAGTATGATTTAGGAACAGGCTATTCAAACTAACAGACATCCTGGTGTGTGCAGAGCGTATAAAAAAATTGCACTTAAGGCCCAAACCTGAGCTTATTATGCACATATATTTCCTAAAAATGTAGAGTTAACCTGCTTAGGGATTATGGACGAGGGCTTTTCAAAGGCCTGGGAACAGAGAGCTGAGGTCGTTAACACTGGATTGGGAAGCACGTTTAAGAGGTAACAATGCGACCTCTTTGGATCAGAAAAGTTCCTGTTTGTTATGCAATGTGTGCGTTTCATATTTGCACGGTCTCACTAGGCGATTGGGAGCTGTGTACACAGCAAGGGAGCCTGTGGCAGCACCCTAGGCTCCGAAACCAGAAACACACACCCTCTCTGAGTTGCCTTCCGCTACCCTTGTCTTTGAAATACTACTTTTTCATGAAAAAATTTCCCTAAATTATATCTGCTTCTCTAGAGGAACACAATATTTTTTCCCCTTAAACGTTTTTAAGAACTACAAGTTTCTTGGAAAATTTTCCATACTCGTTTTCATTCTGCCGTAAGGACAATGCACAGAGTAAATGCGCAATACTAGGAGGATTCAGCCAGGGAATCCCCTTTAATTTTGTGACGGGGTCTGCCAGCCCTGTCTTTTCCCCTTTCCGTGGCAGCCCCTCTCTCTCTTCTAGACCCGTTTCTTTTTGGTATTTTCCGGAGTACGGAGAATAAATAAGGGGAGAAAGCCTTATTTATTTTCCAGGCCGGGCACACCGGGGTCCTGACGGTTGACCTTGGGTGACCGGCGGGGCGCGGGGCTGTGGGTGCGGGAGGCGGAGCGCGGCGGCCCAAGTGCGGGAGCGCCGGGCGGTGGGGGCGACCCGGGGGGGGGCGACCGGGGGAGGGGGGACGACCAGAGGGGGCGACACGGATTCCGCGGCTTCGCCCCGCGGCCCCAGTCCCGCTTCCTGCCGTCCGCTCCCGCGGTCCCCCAGCCGGGCAGCGAAGGGGGCGGATCCTCGTGTGCCAGACACGCCCCGGCCGGGTTTATAGCTCGCCGCGCGCCAGCGCCTGGAACCGCCGCCGAGCTCCCCTCCGCCGGGCACTCTGCACGCGCTCCTCGCGCCGGTCGCCCGCAAACTCCGGGCCGGACGCTCGCACGCGCGCTCACACTCGCACGCGCGCTCACACTCGCACGCGCGCTCACACTCGCACGCGCGACGCCCTTCCCTCCCGCGCGCTCGCCCGCGCCCACGCGCGCGCCCGCACTCCGGCCCGCTCGCCCCGCGGACGCGCAGGCACCGCCGGCAGGAGCGCCCGGGGGTCCCGCGGCATTCCCATGGCTGACCTGAGCTTCATCGAAGATTCCGTCGCCTTCCCCGAGAAGGAGGAGGATGAGGAGGAAGAGGAGGAGGGTGTGGAGTGGGGCTACGAGGAAGGTAACGGCCGGGCGTCAGGGTGCCCGGGGTCCCGGGACGGCGCGTCCCTGTCCCGCCCAGCTCGGGGCTCTGCGCCCTGCCGTGTTGCGCGTCCCGAGCACCACCACGTCCCCCTTTCCCACGGGCGTCTCCGTGGCTTTCCCACTCCCGCGGCGCGCGGCGGGCGGGAGTCGCTCCAGGGAGGCGCGCCCGCCGCCCGCGTTCTCCAGCCGCCCGCGTTCGGGCTGCGGTTCGCAAGCCCACAAGCCTTGCCCGTCCCTTCTCTGCCTTCCGAGTAGCCAAGAAGAGCAACGGTACACTCGCCCAGCACCTTGGGAAGACAGTGCTGGCGACAGGAACAGTTTCTTGCTCGCTTTGAGGACTCTGGAGGGAAAGTGCTTCTGCCTCTAGTCTTTTCCTGAAGGAGGACACTGGCGACGCGCAGCTTTCTAAAACATGTGTTTGGTCGTAGGCTGGATCACTGGGCTTGGCCAGAAGGAGTTGGCTCTTAAAAAAATTTAGATTCCTGAACGTGTACCTGAAGACACAGGGCTCCTACTAGAGCTAACCATTATTGGTGTTTAACACATATATTGAAACAAATATAGAATTTTTATTTTAATTATAACAATTTGGATAGTGTATTATATATGTATATGTGTATATACATGTGCACGCTTTAAAATACTGTATTAGCATTTCTGATAAGATTCACTGGCATCAGAGTTACAGCTTTTGGCTGTCACCAAGCATGTCGAAAGTTACAGCTGTTCCCCAAGTACTGAGCATAACTGACCTAATGAGCAGAGGAAATTTTTGTGATGCCATTTTTTTCTAATCACTTAAAGATGACTTAAATTTCCTAGAGTCATAAATTATTACATCTATGTGGACAAATACAAATAGAATATTTTGTTAGTCCAGGGTTTTGTATGTGGTATTTGATAATATTAGATTGTTAAAATAATGAATGCAAAAATTCACATTTACCGAATTTCATCTGTATGGTGATGGTAGTCATGATGACCCTCTTCATAATGTCAAGGATCATGAAAGTGTTTGTATTAGTTTTTACATGTCCAAATTTTACTGTAACTTTTTTTTTTTAACCTGTTCTTAATTTATTTCTTTTTGTCCTTAGGTGTTGAGTGGGGTTTGGTGTTTCCTGATGCAAATGGGGAATACCAGTCTCCTATTAACCTGAACTCAAGAGAAGCTAGGTATGACCCCTCACTGCTGGACATCCGCCTTTCTCCGAATTACGTGGTCTGCCGAGACTGTGAAGTCACCAATGATGGACATACCATTCAGGTTATCCTGAAGTCAAAATCAGGTATTTTAGGAGATATGTTTGTGTGCTCTTGTAAACTAGAAGTCAACATGGAGCTTTTGAATTCTGATTTAACTAGTATGACTCTAAAGATACAATTAACATAGGTCTATTTTCAGAATACCCTTTATATATTATAAAATGCATTTTTGGGGAATTATTTTCTAAAACAATTTTGAAAGGATAAAAGAGTGAAATTTTAGAGATATCAGTTGGTTGTTCTGCTTTGTATGAGTTATTGGAACAACCTTGGTTTGGTCATCTTATATAATACTTTGTGGAATATGAGGAAAGGTATATGTGAGTATACTGATCTGCACTTTGTCCTAAATTGTTGGTTAGCTTAAATCATTTAGATAATCACAATTCTCTTACTACTTTGTGAAACTAAAGATTATGAGTCATTGACATAATCTGGCATTAAAGTTAGACATTTTGAGTTAATTTTGTCTACTGTATCAATATGACAAGAAGAATTTCAATTAATAGCAATTAAAAACATACTGCAGACTCAGCCAAAGATTAAATGGCAAACAAAGCTCTTGCTTTTTTATGTTTATTTAAGTCTCCCTATTCCCCTCTGAACGTATTTGAGATGGATCTGAAATGTCTTAGAGAAGGTATTGGATGATTACCAAGGAAATTGGTTTTGGCTTAATTGTAGGGGAGAGGAAAGCAGATTTTGAAAAAAATTAACATTAATATCATGCTTTTCATAAGAATAATAACTATCTTTCCCTCTTGGGAAGAATGTATCTTGAAATATTAAGATGTACTTAATAAACAGAGACTGGGTGTGCTAAAATTAATTTGAAATCAATAAATTTTATATTTTAGACCATAAAATCTTTAGGTTTATTAGGTAAGGCAGGTATTGATCTCCAACTATTCATTTTTTAATTCACTATGGATGTTTCTGAGCTTTAATTTAGAATCCATGAGCTAGTCATAGATTCATGTAGCCTTCCTCACTGTTCTGAGTTTAGTCAAGGTATGTGCATGACCCAATAGAGATTATGGGTTTTATATGTACTTGTACTTAGTCAAAGAGATGTTTCAGATGTAAATTTCAACTTAAATCAGATTTTTTTTTTGGGGGGGAGTTTATCCATGATGGGAAATTATTAAAGTACATTGTAAAGTTATTGAATGCTGACTGTTCTGGCATATAAAAAACATTTTAAGGTAGTCCATGTGTGTTGATGTATTGATGGGCCTTTGTACTTCTGGAAATAAATGTTTATATATCCTTGCAACAAAAATGGCATTTCATGTCAGGCAGCATGGTGAGTGTTGGTTGTATACAAGTGGTGAGGGCAGCTCTGGAGGATTCATGGTCTAGTGAAAACGCAGTTCTTTGAAGTTCTAGCGTACATGTGATATGGCCAGTGTTATAAAGAATCACTGGGGCATAGAGGAATGACTAAGCACGAGTACTCACTAGGCCAGGGTTTCCAGCCCTACTCCAGTAACAGGTTGAAAGTATTTTTTTTTTTTTTTGTTATTCAGCTTTGGACATCATTGCTGTGTTGTCTGCTAGCTTCCAGCGTTGCGACTGAATGATCTAGTGCCATTCTGTGTTTCAGCCTCCTCTGTGTGTCTTTTTTTCTTTTCCCCTCTCTGGCACCTTTTATACTTTTCTCTTTATAGTTGTTTTGAAGTTTTATAGCCATATGCTTTGGTGGGGCTCTTTTTTCACTCTGTGCTGGGTACCTGGTGGGTTCTTTCAATCAGGATAATTGTGTCTTTCATTTATTAGAAATGTTCTTATGTTTCTTGTATTGGTTCATTGATAAATTTTCTGGTTTTTTTCCCTCCACTTTCAATAATTCCTGCTTTCTAGTTGCCTTTTTCTTCTACTTTCTGTTGGAGTCCCTCAGATTACAATCTTTCAGCCTTTCTGTTAGATTCTTAATTTCTGCTGTCATATTTTTAATTTCTAAAAAATCATGTTTATTTTATGAATTAAAAAAAAATTTAAAAAAACACAGCATCCAGTATTTATTTTATGGATGTAGGATCTTTCTTCATTCCTTTTTGTACATATATATATATATTTTCTGTTCCTTGCCTCTTTTTATTCTGGGTTCCTTCTTCTGTTTGTTTTTGTCTCTTTCTTTTATTTTGGAAGTTCTCTTCAGATGTCTAGTGATTGTTGGCTTCTTGTTCATCTTAGGAACAAGTCTAAGATGGGGATCAGAAACTCTGTGTACTGGGCAGTGATTGAAGTCTGGTGGGCTTCCCAGTCTCATGATTAGGCAGGGGCCTGGCCATGTTGTTGGAGCCATCTTTGTAGGTTTTATCAATTTATCTGGAATTTGCCTATCCCTATTTGTATTTTCATTTTTGTTTTGGGGCTAGGGGGTGAGGGTGGCTCACAGCTGGCTGCCAGTTTTCTGGCTATTGGCCACAGACAGGAGAGTATCACCATTTGGCATGTCCACATTCCCTTCATTGTCTGCCAGGGAGGGTAAAAGGTGGCTGCCCGTCCATGGGGGATGGCATCAGGAGATTAACTGCTGCTTTTAAAGACTTTAAATCTGTTTTCCTATTTTCAGTTCCTACTCTGTGCCTCTACCTTCCACCCCCTGAGTCCTTCCTGGTTTCTTCGTCTACTCAGACTGCTGTAACAAAATGCCGTGGACTGGGTAATTCATAAATAACAGAAATTTATTTCTCACGGTTCTGGAAGCTGGGAAGTCCAAGAGCAAGGCATGAGCAGATTCCCTGTCTGGTGAGGGCTGCTCTCTGCTCCATAGGTAGCACTTTGTTCCTGTGTCCTCAGGTGACAGAAGGGCCAAACAGACTTCCTATGGCTCTTTTATAAGGGCCCCAATCCCATTCATGGAGCAGAGCCCTCGTCCCTTTCACCTGGTCACCTCCTAAAGGCCCCATCGCTTACACTGCTGCATTGGGGTTAAGTTTCAACATGACTTTTGGGGGAAACACAAACATTCAGCGCATAGCACCTGGGTTCTGTGGCAGGAATTGCCTGCCTCTTGTGGACTTCTTGTTCCTGTAGTTACTTAGCTTTTAGCTTTCTCTTTATAGCTAAATCACTAACTGCCTTTTAGTCTTCTTTCCAGCCTCCTCCCCTTCCCCTTCATTTTTTTTTTTTTTTGGCATTTCTCTTGTGCAGTTATCTCCATTCTTGTTTATTTTGCCCTGGCAAATTCGTGCCCTTTTTATTTAGTGAGGATTGAGGAGTGGGGAGAGATGATGTGTGAGTGCTGTCCTCTTTGTCTAACTGGAGGTGCTCAAATATGACATGCTGTCTTTGTGAATAAAAAAAATTCTTGTGATAAGCACAATTTTTTTTAGAAATGGAAGTTGACTTCCTACCATCCGCTGTGCTGAAACTCAGAACTCCTGAGACTGTTAATGGCCTGGGTTACTAGTTTCTTCCTTTTATTTTTTTTTTTTTTGCTTGATGTATATTAAAGAATCATAAAGAATTGCCAAAAAGGGTTACAACAGTTAAAGTATAATTTAAATGCTTAGACTTATCAAACTGAAGCTTTTAATGTAATCCTAATGACATCATTCCTATATATAATATCCCATCTGGAGATACTGCCTTAAGGTCGAGGCTTTCCGTGAGCATGAGTGAGCCCCGTCCCTATCCTGCTAGTCCTGCGAGTCTGCTAGAACTTCTCAGGCTGATGATCTCCTCATCTCCTAAATCCAGTGGGCACTTTAGAATTCTTACAGTTTTTTAACTCTGCTGCATTTGAAGTGGAATTTTTGGAAACTCTCTCTCCTGTTGGTTTCTGTGCCATGCGAGTCTCCTGACATTTTTTTCTAATTTTGGCTCCCTTTTCTCTGCCAGTTCTTCGTGCTCCACTATCCTTAAATAATGGGGTCTCTCAAGGTTTCTCCTGAACCCTCTTCCCATACTGCATGCACCCCATGAGCAGTGCGTCCATACGACTGGGTGCTACTGTGTCCAGTTTCTGCTTTCCCATGAGGCAGCAAATGAGCTTAGGAAAGGGACAACCACGGTAGGTCCTCGGTGGGAATGGCCTCTGGGGGCGTGGTCAGCTTCCTCTCAGGGCCTCTGGCATGTGGTTAGGCAGCCTTGGCTTTAGCAGCTCAGGGAAAGGACATTTCATTCTCTCGAGGAAATCCATTTTGCTTTTGAGTAATCCCGAAAGTCAGAAAGTTCTGTGTTCTCGCCCGTTGTTTCTATTTTAGGTCTCCTGGACCTACACCGAACAAATGCCAAACAAATATTGTACTTCCACTTGAGATCCTTTAAACACTGACTACACATCATCGTATCATGCAGTTGCCATTTTCTCTTGCAAGCATATTAAGTTCTTTCAGCTGTTGCTCATGTCATACGTCCTTATTATCATTTACTACAGAAGTCATTTACTCTCAGGACTTACTCATCTCTGAGAGCCAGGCAGATCCTATCAGTGAAACAGGAGAGCAAAGGAAAGATTGTATGAGCTACTGCCTCTGCTACTATGCAGTGTTGGGGTGGGGCAGTAGGGTCTGGTGGTTACTGTGGGAAAATGGCAAACTGCAGAGAGCATGGGCGTTTGCCAGATGTTTAATGTGTCAGGAGAAGCTGAGATGTGCACTGTGAACCAAACATACATGTCCACTGGTTCCATTTGGCCTGCAGAGCGTAGTTGGCAATCTCTGCCTCACTTCATGCAAGGTAACATGCTTTGGATAAGATAAATATAAATCAGACCCAAGGGCTGCCCTCAAGGAGGTTACAATGGTAGGTCATAGAAGGTAGTCTATAAAGAGAGATTATTTTGGTGGAAATTATTAGGGAAGGATTTATGGAGGGAGTAGCATTTGGAATGATCTTTGAAGGGTGAATAGCATTGGGATAGGTGGAAAGGGGGTATAGGATGCAAAAAGACATGTGTATGGATGTTCTATAGACCATAAAGAGGAAAGGCAAATCCTTCACTAAAGCTGGAAGGGAAGACTCATTCATGAATTAAGGGTTTAATGGATATTAATATATAGGCTATGTTGGA